CCGACGGTTGCTGCCGCTGAATGGTTTGATGTTGCGTTGGGGTGCCCAAGGTCCGCCAGGTCAGCCACCTGGTCAGGAGCAAAATTTGAAGCGTCGCCACTAGCAGACGGTTGTGCTCAGGCTTCGGCTCCTCCTCGTCGCCTGCCCGCTGGGCTCGACTGTCCTTCGTTCGTTGCTGCCGTGCTTAACCGCCGAACTTTTTTTGTTTTGTTTGCTCGCGCGGGCCCACGCCTAGCCGAGGCCGCCGCGCGGGGCCCTGCCGCGGCCCGCCGCCCGCCGCCGTCGGCCCCCCCCGCCGCCCTCGTCCGCACCGCCTGCCGGCGGGTAGCCGAGCCTGGCCCCGCCTCGGCGCCCCCCGCCTCCGCCAGCCAGCGCGCCGCCCTCCTCGCGCCTCGGCCGGCCCCTGGCGGGCCCCAGCCAGCCGCAGCCCGCCGCCTCTGCCTCCGCCCCCTCGCCGCGGGGCTCCGCCGGCCGCGGCGCCTCGTCTCGCTCCTGGCGCGGCCGCGATGCGGGGCCCTCCCGGGCGCCCCGAGAGTCGCGGGCGTTCTAGTCCCACACTCACTCGGGGCCCGCTCTGGCGTGCCTCTCCGAGCCCCTCCTCGCCGAAGGGCGGCGGGGTCCCCGCGCTGCCGCCCTCGGCCTCCTCGCCCCGGCGCCCGCCTGCCTCCGCCGCCTCCTCTGCCTCCTCGGCCTCCGTCGCCGCCGGCCCGCCGTCGCCAGCCGCCACCGGCCGCCGTCGCCCCCTGCCGCGCCGGCGTCCGCGCGGGCCCACCGCCCGCCGCTGCCAGGCGCGCCCGCGCGGCAGCAGGCGGCGGCCGCGGCCCAGTCTCCGCGGCCCCCCTCTCCTCCTCGCCTTGTGGCGCCGGTGGGCCCCCGCCCGCCCGCCTGCTGCGGCCGCCCGCCAGAGTGCTGGGGCCCCGCCAGCCGCCGCCCTCCTTCGCCGAGGTGGTGGTTGGGCCGCTGGTGGTGTTGCTGGCTGCCGTTGTGGTGGTGGCGCTGTTGGTCGCTATCGTGGTGGTGCTGGTCGCCGCGCTGGTGGTGGAGGCTCTGCTGGTCGTAGTCGTTATCGTTGTCGTGGTGGTGGTGGTGGTGGTGGTGGTGGTGGTGGTGGTGGTGGTGGTGGTGGTGGTGGTGCTGCTGCTGCTGCTGCTGCTGCTGCTGCTGCTTGTCGTAGACCCGCAGTGTTGAGTATGCGTCTGTTCGTGGTGCTATGATGTCGTCGTGCTAGATCCCCCCTTGTCGCCGTGGTGGTGGTGGTGGTGGTGGTGGTGGTGGTGGTGGTGGTGGTGGTGGTGGTGGTGGTGGTGGTGGAGGTGGTGGTGGTGGTGGTGGTGGTGGTGGTGGCCCCTGGCCTTCGCGCCGCCGGGGGCCGCCCGCCCCCCTCAGGGGCGCGCTGGCATGCGGCTAGGGACTGGCGCTTCGGTGTGGCGCGCTTCCGCCAGGACGTCTTGCAGCCAGGGCCAGGGCTCGTCGCCGTCGCAGGCGACGCCGTCCAGGGGCAGGTGCGGCAGAGAGGCTGCGAAGGCCCGCTGCGCCGCCACCGAGGCGAGCCGTCCTCACCGAGGCCCGCAGAAGCTCGGCCGCCGACCAGGCCTTGCAATCCGCCAAGAGGCGCGCGAACTGGAGGGCCGCTTTTGGGACCATCGGCCTCCCACCTCCAAGGCCAGGGCCACGAGCCGGCAGCGTCTCGCGTCCAGGAGCTCTAGTAGGTGGTCTACTTGCTGCGGCAGGCCTCGCGGAGACACGCCCCGTCCTCGTCAGCCGTGCGCGGGTGGGCCGCGTCATCTCGGCAGAGCGGGCAGACCAGCGTGGCGTGCACGGCCAGCTGCGCCCCGCCCCACAGCGGCAGGCTGTTGGCGATCACCTCGAGCTGCCTGCCGTCGCCCGCGCCGACGCCGTCGACGTTGAGGTCCCGCAGGAACTGGTTCTCCACCAGCCATGCGCCCACTCGCCCATCTCCCTGTCTTGCGTGAGCGGGGGGCGCGCTCCCAGCGCCAGCGCCGTCCAGGTGGGCGTCTCGTAGCTTTCCTGTGCCAGCTGGCGCCGCGCCTCGGCCGCCTGGCCGAGCCCCGGTGGGAGCCTGGGCGCGCCTGCGTCGAGGGCCCGGCAAATGTGCGCGGTCAGAGCTGGCGCGCGTTCTCGCAGCATCGGCAGGCTGTCTGCCCAAGAGGCCCACCACGCCGCGGGCGCCATGCGGGCAGCGCAGCGCAAGCCCACAGCTAGCCGCCTTGCCGCTGCGGGCGGGCCTTCTTGGCCCCGCGGCGCCCCGGGAGCGCCCGGGCGGGCCTGGCCAGCCGCCGCCAGCCGCCCGCTAGCCGCCACGCTCACTTTCACCAGCCTGCGCTCGTGACCGCGGCGCCGTCCTCGTCGCCCGCCAGTCCGCCGGCCGGCCCGCACGTCTCGTGACGCCGCGGCCGCCGCCGCCAGGCGGCGAGGCGGCGGCGCCGCCGCCGCCGCCGCCGCCCTCAGCAGCGTTCGCGCCCGGCTTCGGGGCGGCGCTGGCAGCGCTGCTTTCGCCGTCCGCGCGGCCGCGCCGCCGCCGGCCGCCGCGCTTCGCCGCAGCGCTTGGCCCGTCGCCGCCTGCCGCCGGTCGGCCGCCGGCCGCCGCGCCTCGCCGTCGGGCCTGTCGCCGCTGGCCGCCGCGCCCGCCATTGCAGGTCGCTGGGCAGAGGGTTGTAGCGTTGGAGGGCCGAATCCTGCCCCCTCTGCCCTTGAACGAACCTGCGGCGGCGCTGCGCCTCGCCGCCGGCCGCGTCTGGCCTGCGCCGCGCCGCTGGGTCTGCCGCCGCTGGCAGCTGCCACCGCCTCCCTCGGCAGCGCTCGCGCCTGTCCTCGGGGCAGCGCCGGCGGCGCTGCGTTCACCAGGCGCCGGCGTCTCCTCCTCCGCCTCAGTCGCCGCCGCTGCCGCCGCCGCCGCCGCCACCGCCTTTTCCTCCTCCTCCTCCTCCTCCTCCTCCTCCTCCTCCTCCTCCTCCTCCTCCTCCTCGTCCTCCTCCTCCTCGTCCTCGTCCTCGTCCTCGTCCTCGTCCTCGTCCTCGTCCTCGTCCTCGTCCTCGTCCTCGTCCTCGTCCTCGTCCTCAGTCACATCGTCCTCCGTCCTAGTCTCTGCTCCTCGTCCTCGCTCCTCCGTCCTCGTCCTCGTCATCCTCCTCCTCCTCCTCCTCCTCCTCCTCCTCCTCCTCCTCCTCCTCCTCCGTGCTGCTGGCTGCTCTCGTGGTGCTGCTGGTCGCCGTGCTGCCCCTGGTCGTGGTGGTGCCGGTCGCCGTGGTGGTGCTGGTCGTAGTGGTGCTGGTCGCCCTTGTGGTGCTGGTCGCCGTGTTGGTGCTGGTCGCCGTGGTGGCGCTGGTCGTGGTAGTCCTCCCGGTCGTGGTGGTGCTGGTCGTGGTGGTGCTGGTCGCTGTGGTGGTGCTGGTCGCTGTGACGGTGCTGGTCGTGGTGGTGCTGGTCGCCGTTGTGGTGCTGGTCGTGGTGGTGCTGGTCGCCGTGGTGGTGCTGGCCGTTGTCGTGGTGGTGTTGGTCGTGGTGGTGGTGGTGGTCGTGGTGTCCTCTGGCCGTGGTCGTGCTGGTGGTGCTGGTGGTGGTGGTGCTGGTCGTGCTGGCCGTGGTCGTGCTGGCCGTGGTCGTGGTGGTGCCTGTCGCGGTGGTCGTGGTGGTCCTCCTGGTCGTGGTCGCGCGCGTCGTGGTGGTGGTCGCCGCGGTGGTGCTAGTCGTCGTGCTGGTCGTGGTGGTCCTCCTGGTCGTGGTGGTGCTGGTGGTGGTGCTGGTCGCCGTGGTGGTGCGTAGTCGTGGTGGTGCTGGTCGCCGTGGTGGTGCTGGTCGTGGTGGTGCTGGTCGCCGTGGTGGTGCTGGTCGTGTCAGCCCTCCTGGTCGTGGTGGTGCTGGTGGTACTGGTGCTGGTCGCCGTGGTGGTGCTTGTCGCCGTAGTGGTGCTGGTCGCCGTGGTGGTTCTCCTGGTCGTGGTGGTGCTGGTCGTGGTGGTGCTGGTCGCTGTGTTGGTGCTGGTCGCCGTGGTGGTGCTGGTCGTGGTAGTCCTCCTCGTCGTGGTGGTGCTGGTCGTGGTGGTGCTGGTCGCTGTGGTGGTGCCGGTCGCTGTGACGGTGCTGGTCGTGGTGGTGCTGGTCGCGCGTGGTGAGTGCTGGTCGCCGTGGTGGTGATGGTCGTGGTGGCTTCCTTGCTGGTGGTGCTAGTCGCCGTTGTCGTGCACGGTTTGGTTCCGCCCGTGTGGTGGTTGTGGCCGTGGTTGGTGGTGGTCGTGTGTTGGTTGATGGTGGTGGTGGTGGTGCAGTGATGTGGTGGTGTTGCTGGTCTCGTGCCCTGGTAGTGGTGGTGGTAGGTGGTGGTACTGGGTCGTGCTGGCGTGGTCGTGCTGCCGTGCGTCGTGGTGTGGTTGGGTCGCTGTGTCTCTCCCCTCCTGGCGTCCGTCGCGCTGTCGTGGTGGATGAGTTCGCCCGTGGTTGTGATCGGTCGTGGTGAGTCCTCCTGGTCGTGGTTCGGTGCTGGCGTTGTGGTGCCTGGTCGCCGTGGTGAGTGCGTAGTCGTGGTGCTCTGGTCGCCCGTTGGTGGTTGCTGGTCGCCGTGGCTGCTGCGTCGCCGCTAGGCGGTGTGCTGGCCGTGGCGGTGCTGGTCGTGGGTGTCCTCCTCCTCCTCCTCCTCCTCCTCCTCCTCCTCCTCCTCCTCCTCCTCCTCCTCCTCCTGGTCGTCGTGGTCGTCGTCGTGCTGGTGACGGTGCTCTTCGTAGTTGTGGTGGTGGTGGTTGCGGTGGTCGTGGTGCTGTTCGCAGTAGCTCTGCTGTCGGCGTTCCTGCTAGCTGCCGTGCCCCGCCCTGCCCTGCACGTGCGCGCCCCCGCGCGGGGGCCGGTGCTCTCAGGGGAGCGCCGACAGAACGTCCCCTCGCCAGGGATTCTCCCCGCTCGCGCAGGCTCGCGGCAAGGGCGTCGTGGAAGGCGTGCGCCAGCATGCCGGTGCAGCAGTGCGGTCGCAAGCGACCATCGTAGCGCCACCGGCGCGCTCCTCGCCCGGGCGCGGGCCAGGGTAACAAGGAGCTTGTACGCCGCCTCGTCCCAGCGGTCGCCCGTCTCTGCTCCGGCCACAAGCAAGTAGCCCCGCCGCGAGCCCACAAGCTCAGGGTAAGTCGTCTGCTTGCGGCGCCTCGCCTGTTTCAGCGCGAGTCCTGGGCGGAGCCTCCGCGCAATCGGCGTGCCGGTGGCCCTCAGCGGGGACACGATGCAGGCGTCGATGGCGAGCTGCCTGTTTGGGAGGCACGGAGGCCGTTGGCCGCCGCCTCGGTGCGGCGCCCGTCGTTGGCGGCAATGCCCAGGAGGTTCATGTCGCGCAGGTACACGTTGGTGCGGACACGGCCTCCTGCCTCCCAGCACACCCGGGCCCACATCCGCTTGATGGGGGCGCCGCGCTTGAGCAGGCGTCTGCTGCGGGGGCAAGCTGCTCTGTGGTCGCCTCTCTCGTCCAAGTGGGCCTGGCACGAGCGCCCGTTGCCCCTTCTTGCTGTGGCGCCCAGCGGCAAGCGGAGCCGTCTCTGGAGCAGTGCCGGGGAGCGTTCTGGCGTGAACGTGCTTTTTGGTGTCGAGGGGATCAGGGCCAGGTACCGTCCCGCCGCGGCGGCCTCCCTGCGAGTCGAGCATCCACTCCT